GGTTCGGTCCCCACGGCCCCGGTCGCCTGCAGACGCGTGGCGGCGCCGGGCCCCCGAGCGGCGGTGGCGGGGGGCGCAGCGGGGAGCCTCCGGGGCGGGGGTCCCGGGCGGGGCACAGCCCACAGCCTGGCTGCGACGCGGCGGAGGGGTCACTCACCAGTCCGGCCCGCCGCTCAGAGCCGCGGCGGCGGCTGAAGGTCCGCGTTGGAGGAGGTGGCCCGGCCCCGAGGCTCCTCCTCTCCCCGCGCCCCGCCCGCCCGCGGGGACTGACCTGTGGGGGAGGTGGCCGCCCGCCAACCCGCCGCTGCTTATCCGCCTAGGCCACTTCCCCCAAGGCCGCAATCGGGGAGCTGCAGGGTCCCCCATCCCAGCCTGGCCCTTCAGCCCAGGCGGCGGCGGCCACCGCCGACCTTCCGCCCCCCGCCCGACGTTCAGAGCCAGCCCGCCCACTTCCTGATCTGCGTCCCCTCCTCCCTGCCGGGGCCAAAGTGTGCAGGACTCCGGGCTGCCACTTATCCAGGACAATGAGGGCGTGGAGGCCAGGGTGACTTCCTTAATCTGGGGGACACCTCAAATCCACTGCCATTTTATAATCGAGGGTAACTGGTTGGTCAGGTTTGCACAGATGGCAAGAGGCCGAGGTGTCAGACTGGAAACTGCTTCCTTCTTTTCTGCCACAGAAGCAGCAGGCCATAGAGACCCCTTCTCAACAAGGCAGCATCCAAGGCACTGTGGTCCTGGCACTTTTCCCTCCCTTGTCCACACATGGGGTAGACCTTTAATCCTCGCCCACTGTCCCCGGGTTTCAAGACCTGGGAACTGGCAGAGGGCGCTTAGGAGGAGCTGCTGGGGACAACGGGGTTTGCTTTCCTGCCTAGATCTCCTAGGCCCCCCCACACTCCCCTGCCCCTGAAGAAAAGGTGGCCCCAACACTGCCTGCTGCCCTCCCATGCCCCCTGTGGGTGGCATCACAGCACAGCACAGATGTTTGGGGTGTCTTTCTAGAGGTGTGTGCGCCCTTCTGAAGCCTCTTCTCACCTCCAACCTCACCTCATGGCTGGGCGCTGCTGACTTATTCCCTTCCCTTTACAGGGGATGAGGTAGGGGCTCTGGTTGGGAGGGGTACCGTTGGCATTAAGGTCCCTCATCTTCTGGGAGACTGACTGGGGCAGACCCTTGGGACTCCATCTAGAAAATGCCTGGGGGGCATATTCCATCAGCACCTTTAGATTATTCCCAGGAGCCCAGCAGGGCAGGAGAGATAAGCCCTAGGGAGGGTTATCTGAGTCCGGAGGCCAGACTCTGGTGACTGGGCCCTACAAATGGACCCCACAGAGCCTAACAGAGGGCGAAGAGGCGGAGTTCTGACCTTCCCCCACAGTGGTGGGAAATGCTGCTGGGAAGGGTCTCTTCTCCTCACTCCCACCTCTGCCCTCCCTGAGATCCACCTATGAATACCTTTGCTTGCTCACCTCCCGCCTAGAATACTCTCCACCCGCAGCTCTCTGCAAGGCCCAGATTCCCTCCTGCCTCCTTTTGCTCCATCCTGCCCCAGGGCAACACCCTCTCGGAGCTCCCCACTCAGGGAACCCTGCCATACCACACCATGTCCCATGTATTGGGGACCCGGGAGCCCAATGCCTCACCCCTGCCCTTGGATGGTGGGTTGCTGCCGCAGTGGGTTGTAAACTTTAAGAAGACAGGAGCCCGTTCCTAATCCCCTTTGGTGCACCCTCCCCCCACTGGTGCTTTTAAGTATCTCTGGCTGATGGCAATCTCTGAGCATCCTTCCTGCAGTGCTAGTGAGCAGCACAAGAAGATTGAGCTTGAGAAATGGAGGCACTCAGAGGTGTTCCAGCCTTCTTGGAAGGACCCTTGGATCCATCCAGCATCCTTCCAAAGAGACCTGGTGGGCCTCTTCGTGGGGCTTCCCATGAGTTGGAGAGAAAGAGAGATGAAGGCTGGCCTGACACAGGACTATAGAGGGAGGAACGTCCGAAGGGGAACATGAACTTCTACAAGAGAACATCGGGGGCCTGAAGGAGACAGGGAGGGAGGTCGGTGAACGCCCTGCTGTAGGACAAGAGCTTAAGTGGAGAGAGCACCACCTACTCCATTGATCTTGGTGCTTTGCGGGTCTGTATCCCCCACCAGGATTGGGAGCAGCTTGTCTGTCAAGGGGTCTGATGTGGGTGCGGGCTCGGGAAATGTTTCCTGAATCCTTTGAGGGCCAAGCTCTTGGAAGCAGTGGAGCTCTGTCCTGACCTAGGGGGGAGGACAGCGCATTGACACTGGCTGAGCCCCTCCTCTGTGCCAGCCTCGCGTCTGATCAGGCCAAGGGCAGAGCAGGCAGAGCCGTTCTTTCCAGACATTTGGCAGCTCGTGTTACTTCTCTGCTCCACCCACACCCCATCCTCTCCTGGTGGCCTCCTCTCCTCCCCTCAAACAGATCAGGCAGAATCCTCAGACAGGCCACAGCCTTTGCTGTTACCTCTGCCCAGCCCCTGGCTATCCCGGTGGCACTCCTTCAGGTGTGAAGGACCTCCTTCAGGTCCTTGCAAAAATAGCGTCATCTCCATGAGACCCACCCCATCCTCCCCCATCCTCCCCCATCCTCCATCCAGGTACCATGTCCTATTTCTTTTCTGCTTTTTGAAAGCTTTCTCTTCTAACATGCCGTGAAACATACTTTTCCCGTTTGTTGTGTCTTAACTGTCTGCTCCCACAGAAATGTGAGCTCCCCGGGGCAGGGAGCTAGCTCTGCCTCATTGACATCTGTATTCTCAGTGCTCAGTGTGGTGCCTGGCACATAGCTGAGTGAATGTACCTCCCATTCTTACCCTTCTTCACCTCCCTCAGCATCTCTGGGAAACTTCCCCCATGGTTCTTGACCACCCCAGAGCCAGCGTGTTACTGGAACATAGAAAGTGTCCGGTATGTGCACAGAAGCATGTCTGGGCCTCGAGTTGCCCAGTATTCTCTTTATGAAGCCCCTAGTGTCAGCCTCCTGAGATGGCCCTTTTCTCTGAAGACGAGGCTTGCCCTCTGGCTCAGAAGACAAGAGCATCCAGGAAGAGAATCTAGAGGCTCACCGCCTTCTTGGGCCAGAGAGAAAAACGTTGTGCCCTCTCAGCTTCTTGGATTGATCCAAAATTTATAGGCTAGGACAGAGCACATCCATTTCACAAAATAAACACCCTAATTGACTGTGAAGAGATGGCCACGAGAAGCCATGTGCTCAGTACTCTGATGGCTGGGGCCAGGCCCTCCTGGATCTAGAGGGTACTCCAAGCCTCTGGGCACAGGGAGCTGCTCCCTCTCTCATGAGGGAGGAAACGAGGCTGCAATTCTGGTGCTCGATCCTGACGGTGATCTGGGCAAATGAAAGAATTTCTCTGCCACAGTGGTGACCCAATGGATAAAACTGTGTGGGAGCCACCCAGAGCTGAAGCAGCAGCGAATGGTAGGAATGGTCTGTGAGGAAGAGGCACGGAATGGGGAAGCAAGTTGGCAGAAGTGTGCTTGGGGCCTGGGATTGAAGTTCACAAACGGTCTCTACTTGGCACCTTATTTCGAACCAATATTGGTATGGCATGGTAAAGGTGCTTTCCAGAGCCCTGGGAGCCCCAGCGCAGTACCCCAGAGCTTAGTGCTCTGGCCTAAGGCTGCCCTTCTTCCAGTCCTCTGTTGAAACGTGAGCCCTCCGGAGAGGAAAAGCGCTCTGAGCTCAGTGTAATGATCTGTGTATCCCCAGGAGATTTAACTGTGGCCAGGACAGGAGCATTGGAGAAGATTCTAAAGGCAAGCGCTAAATGGGGAGTGTGAATAACGGGCGGGGGATGGGGTAGGTGGGAGCAACCATTCCTCTAAGGGAGCTCACTAGCACATAGTAGACATTTAACTCGCTGTGTAACGTCAAGTGTCTTGGCTTGTGACCAGACCACCAGTGGCCAATAAGAATGTAGGAAGCTGCCCCAGTAACTCCAGAGAACATTCAATGAGCCCAGAAGTGGGTCCTCCTTGTGGGTCTATGGGAGCATACTTTGCCTTTAAGTTGGGGGAGTTTGCAAAAGGCACACAGCTGGAGAAATCTGGGTTTCAGCCCCTTGCTCCAAAGGTGGTGCGTGTGATGGCCTCAGAGAGGGTTTAAAATTAATAGAATCCCAGCCCGGCCCCCGACATCCTGAATCAGATGTGCATTTTAACCAGACCTGCCAGAGATTATGGGCACCGTCAAGTTTGAGAACACTCTGGTCTAGGGTGCCCAGGAAAGCAGCAAGTCCTTGAACTCCTGGGCCAAAGCTGAGGATCAGAAGCCTAGCCCAGGCTACACTCCGCCTTGGTGGGTGGCACTTTAATACTGCGCTTTGCTTTCCCGGGGGTTCTTACGAGCCAAACAGCCTGACTTAATCTGCTTCTGAATTTTTGTAAATAGGGATTAAATGATTCTGCCCTTCACAACACTCAATGCCTATTATATAAAGCTTCAAGAAGAAAAATGTTAGATGAGTACGCTTACTCCTTTCCAATAACTGATCTTAGTTCTTGTTTTACCGTGGTGGCTAGGATACTCAGACCCACAGTCATTGACTATATGATCCTCATTGGATATACTTAAGTTCTGCTTTATTCTCCCATAGTCCGTGACTTTTTTGGTGTCAAGTTTACAATAAGCTATCTTCAGCTGCTTTTGGAAAAAGCCAGTTGTGTAAGCAAACTAAATAGGAAACACCTGGGTGCTGCCGTGGCTAGTCCCTTCTCCCCCTCGGCAGCCATCACCCTTTCCCGGCAAGAGCAAGGTCACAGCACGTTCTCTGCTGTAATTTTGAGAAGGGGACGGAGGGCTGGGGAGAAGGATGTGCCCTTCCCTGTAGCCAGGCATCACCAAGGAAAGCAAATCCCACCAGGTCACATGGAGGGGGGAAATCATGATAAGGTGCTCACACCATGCCCCCTACCCTCCCCCGTTTCCGCTTGGTCCATCCCCATGTCTGTCTCACCTGATGGCGAGTTCAATGTCCTGTCCTTCATGCCAGGGGACTCTCCACAGCCTGGGATGGAGGGATCCTGTGCCCCCGAGGCCTCGGCCGCCATCTCTCCACGTGCTGCTCCTTCCACTGGGTGGTACACGCTCGGTTCACTTGGTGCAGGGTAGGTAGGCAGAGGATAGACTCCGCCGAGGCAACTCACAGACTCAGACTGGGAGAGTCACAGCTCTGCAAGGCAGAGGTGGGGGTCACTGACCTCAGGCTCATCTACAAACACACTGCGGTCAGCAGCAGAGATAAGCCCTCCGCACCTCTCCCCTCCCACTGTGTTTCAACCTGCTCCCTTCTGTTTCATGAGTCTTGGTTCTCCAGGAAAGGTGAGGGAAGGCAAAGGACATTGGTTGAGGTCCCACCTTGAGGCCGGCGCTGGGCCACGTTTAAATCACCCCCCATAAGCCTCACTGGCCCCTGCCAGGTGACTGGGATCTGCTCCATTCTTTAGATGGGGGAGGGGACCTGCTTGGCCTCATGCACTGAGGAAATGACAGCAGCCCGATTCCTGGATCTTTCTACTACCTTTGCCTCGCTAGGTGGAAGGCTCCTGTGGGCAGTGGCTAGCACCCCTTTGGTGACCCCCGTTAGTGCCCAGGACTGGGGCCAGCATGGTGCTGGGAGCGGAACAGGGGCAGTCCATGTGGTGTGACAGAGAGGGCATGAGCCACAGCGTGGGATTCTGTCCCCAACACTCCTCACAGTGCCTGCCATGCCTTGGTGAGGTTCCATCAGCTGTCCCCAGCCTCCACAGGGGTGGCAGCTACACGGGGCTATGTCCCCCTGAGGTTTGCAGAGCCTGGGCAGGTCTGTGGAATGCCAGGGAGGCCGCCAAGAGCCTACTTCTCTCTGGCCTAGTGCCGGTTTCACTGATACTCACACAAATATGTCGTCATCCTCAGAGCCACCTTCAAATGTTTGCTGGGATCTCAGTTCTACGCCAAAGGCCAGGAGCCACAGTCAGCCAGCCACGGGGTCTCCTGGGATGAGGAGAGGGCCGGGCTTGGTCTCTGGAGGCATTTGGAGGATAAAGAAACACACTGACCTGGGTTCAGATGGGGTCTCCCCACAGAACCTTGATCTCCTCAGCGGTAATCTGAGAGAATATGCTGCCTCAGGTGATGTGAGAATGAAGTGAGAAATTTCTAGATGAGTGCCTGGCCCTTAGTGGGTGTCCATTAAAATGCTGCCAGCCAATCTGAGAGGAAAAGAAAGTGTGTTCAGGGAAAGGAAGACAGGCCACTGAAAAGCCCAGTTCCATAAGAAATATACTTCTTGGCAGGCCCATCTTCCCTTTTGGAAAAGTCTTCCTTCGTCCTGTGTCCTGATCTAAATACTCTCCTCCTCTGAAAAGTGCTCAGGGAACCCTGTCTCCTCTGACCTCATGGACTGGAACCAGTAGGTGATGAATGCCTACCCCTCCTTCGTCCCCTGTCCCAGAGGTCAGCGGGTGCAGTGACACCCTAGTCTGGGAATCAGGAGACTTGGCCATGCTCTGCCTTGGAGCTTACCATCAAATCTCCCCTTGCTGAGCCTCCCACTGCTGCCAGCTCAACATATCTGTGAAATGGGGATGATGAAGCGTGAGCAGTAAGCTAAGTACAGAGGGTACTCATATTAAGTCCCTATCTTCCCTCACCTAGATTCCCTTGGCTCCTTGTCCTCTGCCAGAGTCAATCCCCTGGGCCTAGGCCAAGGGTGGGACTGCAGACTGCAGGTCCTACCTTGGCCCTCATCTAGAAGCAGGGTGGAAAGAGAGTCGTAGGACCCTGGGTGCACTCTGTCCCTTCAGCTGGCCTGAGGGTGGAGGGCCTGATTTGGTGGCAGCAAGGCCCAGTCTTCCCTCCACTCTCCCATTCAGGGTCACAGTCTTTCCTGAAGTTCCAGAACATTCCCCCAGGGTAGAAGGAAGGATGGGAGGGACCCCTGTCTCCCCACATCTGCTCCAGGCCCATCTGGCTGCTCTGATTCTGGAAACTGTTCTGTAACGCCTATAGCCTCCTGGGCATATTCTCCACTTTTGCTGGGTGCATGAGGATGTCAGCTCCCCTGGATTCTGGTTCCAGTTTTGCTCTAGCCACCATGACCTTGGCCAAGACCCTCCTTCTCCTCAGACCTCCATTCCCCCAGAGGTAAAATGCAGTGGGTTGCAAATGCCCAGAGGAGCCTGAGGTCTCAGCAGATGCCTTTGTGGGGTGAGGACCTAGGTCAAGGCTGGGTGTGTGTCCCAGCCCTTCCTTATCTAGAGCAGGGGCCCTCTTATCTCTCTATAGGTGGGATCAGGTTGACCATCCCTGTGGTAGAAATCCCAAAAGTCCCCTCCACAGCTTGGATTCTCCTTTGGTTAAATTAGGGCCCCTGAAGAGTAGGAGAGGATCGGAGGTGTCAAGAATCTGGTCTCCCCAGGAAACTAATTTCTGATGGTCGCTGCCAAGGCAGTCAGGGTTCAGGGTCAGCAGGTGCTGGGAGAGGGGAGGTGCAGGCCTAGGGTAGATGTTTTCTGTGGTGGGAGGGGAGTGGGATGGGGCAGGGGCTGTGGGTGTCCTTTTGACACTGAAGCCCACAGGGCCGCATCTCTCCTGATGCCCTTTCCTGGAATGCAGTGATGCCTGAATGAATTAATTGGCTACAAGATACACGTATACAGTGCTTATGCAAATTTATGCAAACAACATGCAAATGCAGCTGGCCTTAGGCTGGGTGCCCTGGGATGGCAGCTGGTGGGGGATGAGGTGCCCCTGTCATTTCCGACTTTGCCTAAGGCCTCTGAGGATGTCACAGGGAGAGGCCCACCACTTTCCCTCCGCTCTACACAGTCCCTTCTCAGAGGGCTTAGACAGGAGACCAGAGACTGTGAATCGGCGGCACCTGCCCCCATGCCTATGCCACACCATGCAGGAAGACGCCAGGGGTACTCAGGGGACACGGGAGAGGAAAATTCCAGGCCCGATGGTCTGGTTTGGGCCAATGTCCTCGTTCCTTAGGAAAGGACAGGGAGGTTTGGAGAATGCACAGCTGGTGGTTGGAGAAACAGAATTTGGCCCAAGTCTGCCCGAGGCTGACTCCATGCCCTTTCCCCACGGCTGCCAGCTCCAATGCTGTGCCCCCCTGTGTGTGTGTGTGTGTTTGTGTGGGCATGGGGCTGCATGGAGCCTCCAGACCTCTGCAGTAATGGGGCCTAGACCTGCTTAACGTGTAAGCCCCGGGCCACACCTCCATTCTCGGACCCAGCGCCTGGTGCTTGGTAGGTTTTCTACAATGGTTCTCACGAAGGGCTGAAAGCCTGCCTTTAAGGTGGGTACTTGTTGCTCTTTTCTTGAGTCAGCCAGGGTCCAGGCCAGACTGCACCCTGGGTGGCTTTTTGGCTGCAGAGAATGGCTATTCCATTAGCCAGTCATTCCCCCTGGGTGGAAAATGAGGGGGCCTCTCCTTGGGCAAGGAGGTCCCCTCTAGGCCTGAAAGCTCAGCGTTCCTGCTGATTGAGATGCACCTCCCCCCTCTGCCCCCTGGCCTGCCCTTCCATTCCAGGGAGTCACACTGGTATAGGCAGGGCGACTGGAGTGACAAGATCAGCCCGCCAGTTGTGCGAGCCCAGAGCTCTGGACTTGGGGGACCGCCAAACTTTGTGGGACATTTTGCCTGGAGACACTGGGCCTGGTTGCACTGGGGGCCACTGGGGATTCTGTCCCCGGAGGCAGCAGTGGTTTCTGGGGCAAGAGCCATGCCTACACAGGTGGGCGCATGGCCACCTCATGTGGTCATGGGCCATGCGGGGGCAAGACCAGACGCTGGGGGAAGGACCTGGAGCCGGAGCCCTTGCGGGCGGTCTTCTGGGAAACACTAAACAACAACAACAAAAAACAGTGGTGGGGGTTGGGCAGGTCTACTTTGGGTAGATGGTGGTGGGAGCTTAGACTATAATGATTTCAGCCTAAAAAGCCAGGGTGCTTTCTTTTTTTTGGTGGGGGGAAGTGTGTGTCACAGGCCAATGGGCTTGGAGACTCACACGCTCCAGCCTGCTCTCTGGCCTGGGGCCTGGCAAGGCACAGTGTGGTGAAGACCCATTGAGGCCAGTGTTGGTGACAGAAGGAAGAGCCAGAGCTGGCTGGGGTCCGGCCTCCTGATGGCTGTGGTGATGGTGCAGAGCCTCCAGGCCCAGAAGGCCAGTTTCCTTTTCCCATCAGCCTTGGCGCCCTGGGAGGTCTTCCCAAGCAGCACTTACTTCAGAATGTGACTGGTTCTCCAAGTGAAGAGGACACAACTTTTTGCTTCGCCGGGCTTATCACGCAAGGACCAGGTACAATTATGGGTAAGATATGATGCCAGGCCCACGGCAGAGGCCCGAGTCCTTGGCAAAGCACACACGGGAGCCGGTGGCGGTGTGGCGGGCCTGGCAGCAGGGCAGCACCGGGCTTTCTGCCCAAGCAGGGCAGGGGTGGGGGAGGCCAGGGCACTTAGGCAGGGGTGGAGGCCCAGCTGGCTTCCCAGCCCATTAGCAAGGCAAGCAGCTCCTGAAAGATTAACCACAGGCCTCGGTAATGTACTTTGGAGAGAACATCTCCTCAGGTGCTCAAGTGCAAGCTGTTGACCTGAGGGGTAGGCTGGAGGCGGGCAAGGCCTTTTGGAAAAGAGGAGAAGAAAAAGGCAAAGGAGTCTGCCCCACACCTCCCTCCTCGAGTGTGTTTGAGACTGTGACCCTGAGGGGCGTGTTGAGTGTCCCCACCTTTGACCAGGCTCCAAGGCTCTGCCCTCTCTCCTTGAGGGCATCCCACCATGGGACATACTCCTAAGGCAGGACCACATTTCCTGGTCAGCCCTCAGAGGCGCTTTCTTGAGGCAGAAGCCTGGTCTTAAACACTCCTGCACAGAGCTCCTACTTGAGCCTGGGCAGGAGAGCATGCTTGGGCAAGGGCCCAGAAGACTCTGGAGTTCCTTCTGCCCACCACTGGGCCTCCTTCCGGCTCAGGGGCCATCCTGCTGTCTTGAACCCTCACTCACCGGTGTGGGGCTCTCCCACTTTCATTGCCTCTGACCTCGTCATCAGCAAGCTTCTGG